CACAAACATGTTCCTGACCCAAACCTCTGCGGCTGACTATGAAGCCTTGTGTAGACTTGATGTGCTTGGTCTACAAGACCATCCAGTTGGCGACCAAGATCTCGTATTTGAAGAATTCAAGGAGCAGCTAACAAGAAACCCGCAAGGATGGTACGAAACAGGCCTCCTTTGGAAGGGAAATCATCCACCCCTCCCTAACAACAAACATGGCAGCCTGAAACGACTAGAGAACCTTGTCAGAAAGCTAGAGAAACAACCAGGCACGTTGCAGAAGTATGACGGGGTCATTCAAGATCAGTTATCTCAAGGAATAGTCGAACGAGTGCACAGCGAACCCAAAGGGAAGGAGTTTTACATCCCGCATAAGGCCATGATTCGAGAGATGGCAGAGAGCACGAAGATTCGAATTGTCTACGATGTGTCCGCCCGAGCGAACGAGAAAGCACCATCCCTCAACGACTGCCTAGAGACTGGGCCACCATTGCAAAACAAACTTTGGAGCGTACTCGTGAGAAACCGGTTCCAATCCGTGGCCCTAGCAGGGGACCTGAAGCAAGCTTTTCTACAAGTGAGAATCCGAGAGGAAGACAAAGACGTGATGCAATTTCACTGGCTCAAGGACCTACACACCAAACACGTGGAAACTTTACGCTTCACACGAGCACTGTTCGGCTTGTCCACGTTGCCATTCTTGCTTGGGGGAGTGATTGATCAGCACCTAAAAAATCTTCAGAACGTCTACCCAAGGGAAGTTGAAAAGATCCGACGAAGCCTCTACGTGGACGACTTAATCAGCGGTGATAAAACCGTGGCTGGCGCACAACACCTGAAACAAGCATCGCAGTCCATTTTCAGAGCTGGGAAATTTGAACTGCACAAATGGCACTCTAATGTCCCGGCCCTGGAACAGCCTTCACCCCACGAAGAAACAATAAAAGAACTACCCACTACCCATCAAAGTGAGAACCAGAGCTATGCCAAGGACCAGTTAGGAGTCAAGAAAGGAGAAACGAAGCTGCTGGGTGTACCATGGGATAAACGAGAGGATACAATACAAACCAGTTTCCCTGACCCGATTTCGAAAGCAACTAAGAGAGAAGTCCTCGGAAAGATCGCTAAGATCTACGATCCCCTCGGTCTAGCATCACCAATCACTTTGGAAGGGAAATTTCTTTACAGAGAAATGTGTGAAGCCCGAATCCCATGGGACCAAGAGCTACCCCAGGGACTCGAGATCCGTTGGCAAACCTGGGAGAACAACCTAACAGACAAAGTAGAAGTACCAAGAAGCATTGCCCAGCACCAAGAAGAAATCACTAGCATCAACCTGCATGCCTTTGGCGACGCGAGCAGCCAGGGCATGTCAGCTGCTGTTTACGCCGTCACACATCAAGCGACGGGGCTATCACAAGGGCTCGTAACAGCAAAGTCTAGACTGGCGAAGAAAGCACTCACCATACCAAGACTCGAACTAGTGTCGGGGCACATGGCAGCCAATCTTGTAGATAACGTTAAAGAAGTACTGCAAGGTTTCATAGTTGAAGGTGTTCATTGTTGGCTCAATAGCAGCGTAGCTCTTCACTGGATCAAGGGGGCAGAGATTACAAGCAGTTTGTTAGCAATCGAGTGAGGAAATTCCAAGAGAAGAAGTACATCCAGTGGAGGCACGTGGGTACCAAGGAAAACCCTGCCGACCTGGGTAGCCGAGGCAGGCAAATTAGTAACTGCTCAGATCTGTGGTGGCATGGGCCAACATGATTACCTTTCCCAGAGAGTTGGCCAGCAGATATTGTCACCACTCCTACCAAGGAATCACAAGCCGAAGCCAAGATCATAAGGGGAGTTCTGGGCGTAACTGTGAAGACGGATGACAATCTAGACCTGGTGATGCACAAGTACGACTTATGGAAGGCCATCCAAATCTGCTGGTGGGTTGTGCGATTTACAAGGAACTGCAGAGCTAAACGCCAGCAAAAGGATCACCGGACCAATCACTACCGAAGAGACAGCCAACCAGTTGCAGTTCTGGGTAAGAAGATCACAAGTCAGGAGTCAGGAGTCAAGGCACCATCAAGTTTGATGAAGACCAAATGAAACTGAACCTCCAGAAGAACATAGAGAGGATATTCGAGTGCCGAGGACGTATTCAAGGCCACTACCCAATTTACCTACCTGACGATGGCGTGTTTACTGGAAAACTAGTGACACACTTCCACAAGCACACCCTACATGGGGGAGTTGGTTTGACCATGGCCAAAGTACGTGAGACGTATTGGGTACCTAGATTGCGCCAGCTTGTTAAACGCCTTATCAAGCGGTGCTATGGATGCAAAAGATTTCATGTATCAGCATTTGCCAACCCTCCTCCAGGCAACCTGCCTACAGATAGGACAGAGGGAACCTCGCCCTTTCAGGTTGTTGGAATAGACTACGCCAGACCGATCAAGTACCATGACAGCAAAAACAAAGGAAAAGCGTACATAGTCCTGTATGCCTGTAGCCTGTCCCGAGCCTTGTACCTTGAATTGACCAAGACCATGGAGACTGAAGAGTTTATCACTTCCTTGAAGCGGTTCATAGCAAGAAAAGGTCGTCCTGTAAAAATCTATTCAGACAATGGTAGGACCTTCGTAGCTGCAGCAAATTGGCTACGGAATGTAATGCAAGACGAGTGCCTCCATGACTACCTTACCAAGATGAATATCAAATGGCAGTTCAATCTCAGTAGAGCTCCATGGTGGGGCGGGCAATTTGAACGGATGGTCGGTATTGTCAAACAGGCCTTCAGTAAGTCTGTCGGAAATGGAACCCTCACCTGGGCAGAACTGCAGGACGTGCTGCTAGACGTGGAGGTCGCACTGAACAACCGTCCTCTGAGTTATGTAGAAGAAGATCTACAGCTTCCTTTGTTGACCCCTAACATGTTACAGTTCGGACGCCCTAACTTGTTGCCTGATCCTGAAGCACACCATCAAGAGAATCCTGATCTGAGAAAGCGTGCAAGATATCTAGCGAGATGCAAAGATGTGACCTGGAAAAGGTGGTCTGCCGAATACCTAAGGGGACTACGCGAAAGGCACAACATGAAACACAACAAAAGGCAGCTATCTGTAACAAGTGGAGACGTCATTATTATCAAGGGCGACGAGAAGAACCGCGGGCAGTGGAAGTTAGGAATCGTAGACGAGCTGTTTCCAGGAAGTGATGGTGTCATCAGGGCTGTTAAATTGCGAGCTGGTAAGTCTTATCTAGAGAGGCCCATACAGCACCTCTACCCGTTGGAGCTATCTTGCGACAGGACCACAGACAAACCCAAAGCACCACTGAACGCAGAGGCGCCAACCTTCAGGCCAACCAGAGACGCTGCAGTCACTGCGAGGGCGCAAATTCGAAGTATCGCAAGTGATGAGGAGTCTGGTTGATGACGAACAATTGTCTTTGAAAATTTGAACATTTGATTGAGACATTTTGAGCATATTCGCATTTATTGTAGTCGCTTCTCGGATTATTCATATTTGCCACTGTAACCGAAGTGTCAAATAGGGGGAGAGTAGTGATGGAAAGCGTGACATAGCATGACATAACGTGACAAGAAAGCATTACTATTATTAATATTAAGTGAAAGACAAGCTCCTTTGAACATTAGACTTGATTGCGAAACAGTGTAAGAAGATTGGCTTTTTAAGGGGTGTGTGTTTTAGAGAGAGACAGAGCGAGATAGCGAACCGAAGATATCTGTAATCAGGGGAAACAACAGTAAACCAGTTTGAAACTTAAACCTGTGACTTATTTGTCGGATACCCGTTCCCGACAGCACTGTCATATTCCTTTTTACTCAGTAGGCTATCCTCTGCCAATTCAACAAGCTGACGTTTGCAAATTCAAACCGCCAGACTCTGAGAACTCTGGATATTTTGGGTGAAAACCACGACAACTGTTTAAAGCAGATAAGAGAGGATTACAAAGGAAAATGAAGGATTGCACCTCCTCGAAGAGAAGATCAAGAGTCTAAATAATGTGCATTCTTCTCATCTTTCTTCTGTATCAGAAAGAAGCTCATTAGCATATCGGCGCCAATCATGGCGGCCACGTTTAGAGTAGCTCTAGTTTCTATCACTATTCTATCCTGTTTAAGCGCTGCATTTCTAAACCATTTATTATCCTTCGAGGCTACTTTTAAATCAAGGTGGGAACCCCTGCACACTGCTGTTCAACTCAAGAAGAAATGCACTTGTATCGTCAAAGATGGTTTTCATCGATCAAGAGTTCCAATGCAGAAGCACACTAAACACGGGTTTGTCTCCTTAGTCATCCCTGGCCACGACCCTCCATTGGACATCACGGTATACGTTGATATTTCGACCAACCCCGGTCCTGCTCAATCTATTATCGCCATTGGTAGCCGGCAGAGAGCCACTAGAGATTTAATTCGGCAGCTTGATTCTCCAATTTGCCAAACATCGACCCTACAGTACTCTCGGCGCGAACTGGTGTCGCTCCGGAAAAATTACAGCCTTCAGGAGAGACGGTCAGTTTTATTTAAGAACATTCGAGCGGATGGAATTTTTAAGTACCGAGGGAAACGGTCCGGAAGACTTACTAAAACACAATTAAATACAGGCCGAAGCAAATATTCTTCAGAAACGAATGAATTTTCAACCTTGAATAATTATTCACAGTCGAACAATCACACCTTACCGGGGCTTTCAGTAATTCCCGTGAGAACAACCACACGCGCCATCTCCAGTAGTTACACAAGACCAAGAACTGTTAATTGCTATAACTCTTCCATCTTGAATGAATCTTTACGGTTCAATAATCACGCTTTACCGAGACTTTCAACAATTCCCGTGAGAGTAACTACGCGTGTCTCCTCCAGCCGTTACACAGAAGAAAGAGCCGTCAATTTCAATAATCTGGCTATTATCAAGCCTAAGAGAAACATCGACACCAGGAAAAACACCTTGCAGTTCGTACCGTCAATAGCTGTGTCTAATGTAATGAGTTTGGCACCAAAAATAGACGAACTTCGTATTTTTTTGAACACCCACGAGTTTGATCTTTGTTGTATAACGGAGACATGGCTGAAAGATTCTATTGATGACAGCGTAGTTGACATTAGTGGCTACAACATCATACGCAAAGATAGGACCCACAAGCTACATGGGGGTGTGGCTCTATATGTAAAAGATTCCATCAAATTCTCAATTCTACGGGACTATGAGTTTCCTGACCCCGAGGGCCCTGAGGTTTTGTGGGCCAAAATCACGCCCAACCGATTGCCCCGGGGTTATAGCTGCCTTATCATTGGTACAGTATACCATCCTCCACCGCCTGCCAAAGATGAGCCCCTCCTTGATTACATGATGGATTCTCTCTCTAGGATAGAGAGTGATATCCCTGGCGCAGGTATAATTCTCGCTGGCGACTGGAACAGGGCAAATGTTTCACCAGTTATTAAGCAGTTCCGCCTCACGCAAGTCGTCCATTTTCCAACAAGAGGGATCGTACACTCGACAAAGTGCTAACTAATCTTACAGAACACTACGAGAAACCTTCTCCATTCCCGCCCTTCGGACTATCCGATCATTGTACTGTTGGTTTGTTTCCAAAAATTAGATCGAAGGCCAATATTCCTGCAAACAGAACGGTTACTACACGTGCTGTTAACGCTGAGTCCAAACAGGCTTTTGGTCGTTATATGACGGGGGTCGACTGGTCATTAATCGACACTATAGATAGCGTCCAAGAACAGTATGCTCACTTCAGTGACCTAATTCACATAGGGTTAGATTCTATCCTTCCCAAAAAGCGAGTTAAGTTCCACCCAAACGACGCACCATGGATTTCACCCAAACTCAAGGCACTTATAGCACACCGTCAAAGAGCATATTACCAAGACAACAAACCATTGTTCCACTACTACCGGAACAAAGTAAACAGGGAACGGAAGCTCTGCAAACGCTCTTATTACAACACTAAAGTCAGCGTTTTGACCGAAAACAATCCTAAAATGTGGTGGTCCGAATGTAGGCGGTTATGTGGAATGAACAAAACACCTACAAGTGTCGCAAATCAGCTCCTAGCAAGTAAACCAGCTACCTCAATCAACCTTAAGATCTTGGCTAATGAAATCAACACAGCTCTGCTAGAACCTCAAGCTTCGTTTGACCCACTTTTAGATAATATCGAAACTGTGAGCACTGAGGGTTTTAAAACTCCCATTTTTTCACTGGAAGCTACCTTCAAATGCCTTAGTACGGTCAGCTCCTCCAAAGCTGGGGGCCCAGATAATATCCCAAACTGGGTCTTGCGTGACTTCGCTCCTGAGCTCGCTCAACCTCTTCGTTGTATCATCAATTCCTCGATTAGTCAAGGGACTTTACCGGACATTTGGAAATGTGCAAACATCACCCCTCTTCCCAAAACAAAGATAGTTGAGGATGCGGCGAAAGATTTGAGACCTATTTCACTGACACCAACGTTGTCCAAAATTGCCGAGCACTACGTCGTCCATGAACATGTGAAACCAGCACTTCTGAAACGCCTGGAACCCGATCAATTTGGGTGTATTCCAGGATCCTCCACTGCGCATGCATTGATAAACCTGATGCACAATTGGGCGCAAGCAACAGACGGAACGGGGAACACCGTGCGGATCTTTGCGTTGGACTATAGAAAAGCCTTCGATCTGATAGATCACAGCCTCTTGCTATCGAAACTCTCGACCTACAATATCAACCCTTACATCATTAATTGGATAATAGCCTTTCTTAAAGATAGGAAACAAAGGGTCAAACTTGCACATGATTGTCTCTCAGAGTGGGGATCGGTCCGAGCAGGAGTACCGCAGGGAACAAAATTGGGACCGTGGCTATTCTTGGTTATGATAAATGATTTGAAAGTACCATCAGCCAGTGATTGTATAAAATATGTAGATGACACAACAGTGTATGAAATCATAAGCAAGGGTGGTCCTAGCAATGCTCAGTCTATGATAAACGAAGTAGCTACCTGGTCAACACTTAACTCGTTTCAACTTCATCCGAAAAAATGTAATGAGCTAAGAGTTTCCTTCGTGCGCTCCCCTCCTTCCTACGATCTCATAGAAATTAATGGCTCTAAGGTTAGCGCCGTTAGTGTCGTGAAATTACTGGGTGTGTATTTTCAAGACAACCTCAAGTGGAACACTCACGTTACTGAGATGATTAAAAGGCCGCTAAGCGCCTTTACTTTTTTTAACTCAGTTAAAGCGAGCTAAGGTACCATCACCAGAATTAGTGAATTTTTATGTTGCTTGCATTCAATCCGTCTTACTTTATGAATGTCAGGTCTACCATTATAGTCTCCCCGATTATTTGAGCTTAAGTTTAGAGCGTGTCCAAAAGAGAGCCTTGAAAATTATATACGGTTATGATAATCATTATAGAGAAGTGCTTCAGATGGCAGAGCTGAAAACCCTAAGGGATCGGAGGGAAGACCTTTGCTTAAAATTCTTTAACAACATCGTCTCCAATCCCTTGGATTGTTTGTACCACTTACTGCCTTTCGACAACCGAGATCAACTTATGGAGTTACGACGACGCAGACCATTTAGAGTTTCCTTTAAAACAAATCGGTTCAGAGATACTTTCATTCCAGCAAGCGCAAGACATTTTAATTGACATCTATTACAATTGTATATGGGCCCATATGTAAATTAGTTCCCTTTTAGGTTTGATTTTATTGTATAGTTCTATTATATAATTTGTACACCTTTGTAATTCAGCTTCCAGCTGCTATTAAGGTATTATTAATAAACGTCTATCTCTCTTGCTATCTATCTCTCTATCAACATGCTGTGACTGCAGTGGAGAATTGTCTGTACTGATGAAACATGCATTTGAGTAAGAGAAGTCCAGTCACCCTGGTTTTGTGATTTCATTTGACAACTTGGATATTCAGTTGCAAAGGAAAAATAGGTCAATGGAATCACAAAACAGGGATTACCACTGTGTAAATCATCAGATGCTTGAGAACTGTGTGTCTGGGGCTCATCTCAGATCGGACTTCAGAAAGTACCGAATGCAAACCTGGAGGAAGTTTCAAACCTCAAATTTCTTCCTACTCTTGATGCCCAACAGCAACAACAGTCCAACTATATTATACTTACTGCACGGATCCTGGTTAACTACTTTGATTCTTTGGCTCCTCTGAAGTATGCATGAATCCTTCATATCCCCCACAAATACCCAAATGAGATGGCTCAGAAGTCCAAGTAGGTATTTCCCTTTTTTCATGTGTAAAAGTATTATCTAGTACACCTCAACATTACAACCACTGACCTATACGATAAACATTAACATGGCCAGGTTACCATTATTTGAGATTCTTACATACAGTGTAAGAGTTTGATGTACAGAAATCTTAAGAATTTCTACTTTGATACATGGCCATGGGTACTCAAAATATTATTGTTTTAGTAACCACACCATATTGTTTGTGGTGTGGTTTTTTTGTAAGGTTTTCAAGTCTCCTAAGAACATGACATTTTAATTATCATTAAAGTAATAATATTTACTTTTCAGGTTCCACTTGCCATCATTTTCAAAAATGAAAACATCAATGAGGACATGGTTTCCATCCTGCAGCAATTCTTTTCCTACCTTCCAAAAACTGGAGATGGTGGTGTTGATGGTCAGCTATTCTCTGGTGACCAACTAACAGTAGAAAGGGCAGTTAATGTAATTTCCTCTGTAGCAAATGGTTTTACCCTAGAGGATCGTTTAGAAGGCATTAACCTTCAGTTGGGTGATTGGCATGCAGCTGTGAAAGTTCTAACTGTAAGTCAGACAACTATTAGTAGCTGTATGTAGTAGGGGCAATAAATAATTTATTATTAGTTTAGATTAAATTTGTCTAATGAATGTTTTTTTTTTTTTAATGCAAGTTTATCTGACTTTGGGTTTCTACCTGCCCAGAATGTTTTTACTCAGGCAGTAAAAGACGATAAGATTCATAATAGCAGTGATATAAACAGTAATGCAAGGCATTATGATCTTAACCATAGTAAATTACAAAATTATCACAATTATTATGGGAATTTTCCCCTATGTTCACCTGATACCTATCAAATCCAACAAATACCAATCATAAGTTACTTGTTTCAACAGTTAATATACTCCTGATTCTTCAATAGCAAGTCAGATTCAGATCTCGGCACCCTTTTTCCAGAACCGCACCCTTATCAACTGGAGGAATGTAACTGGTGATCCTCCTTCTTCTTTCAGAGCAAATGGGGACTTTCTCCATGTCATTTTCCTGTCACAATGTTATCACAGCAGCATGACAGTGTTGGGATTTGCTGACAAATCAAGTGCCCCAGAACACTACCCCCTGCCAGAAGACATGGAGAAATTGAGAAAAGCCCAAAAACTTGAGTACCTTCATGGCTCTGAAAAGGAGGTTGATTCTTTCATTTTCCAGTCAGAAGAACAAATGCAAAAACTAAAAGCTGAAGAAGAGATAGACATTTTGCAGCAGCAAGAAGTTACTGCTAAGGGAAGATTTCCCTGCAGATTCCCTGGATGCAACAAGTCATTCAAGTACAATGGCAAAACCAGAAGGAACCATGAACTGTTCCATCATCCACGTGTTCAGTTTAAGGATTCCATGATAATGACTCAATCTTCACCTGAATGCACAGCCCTTCAAAAAGAGACAAAAGCAGGTGATGATGTATACAACTATAACTGTGCAATTCTAGCAGATTGCTTTTTATTTTTTAATTTTCTTAACACTATTAAAGAAGGGGATGGAGAACGAATTGTGCAGCAATACAAGTACATCATGTTTTCTTGTAAGGCCAATGGCTCACATAGCACCAAGTATGCACTAGAATGTTTAACTCAGTTTTTCTTTGTGTTTGCACTGTTGTTGCAAAGAGACAGTGAGCAGTTTGTATGGAACCGCTCTGTAAACAACAGTGGTAAAAAAGCTCCTAATATCCCAATTGATGAAGACACGGAACATGAGAGCAATGCCATAAAGCAAGGCATTAGAAATATTGGGCCTAATGTCACTAAGAATGCTGTTCAAAGAATATATTTTGCATGACGTCCAACAGCATCAATACTGAGCAACCTTGTTAATAGCATCAAATGACAGTTGCCATCAGGCAAACACTCTCATGGAAATCTGGAAAGGGACTTAAATAAGCTCATCAAAAGAGCATTTGAATTTAAAATATTCAGTGAGGTCAAGGGATGCAGTTACAAAATACTTAACAGCTTCCAGAGAGACAGACTTGCCAATTTGGATGTGTCTAGTTTGCACCATTAGCTAAGAAAAAACGCAAGAAAAACATCATGTGGGGAATAGGGCAAGATGAACATTGACAATAAATTTAATTTGCAAATTAACCAGAAAGCTTTGCAAGAAACATTTTGTACTTCAACTGAATTTAATTACTGAGTGAAAAAAAAAGAGCCATTTTTTCTTTTTTGGCTAGTGGACAGTTCCCCCACCCCCTTTTAAATATGGCAGGAATCAATACTCTCAATTTTTTGTCACTTTTGAAATCAAGACAGTTGAGTTTTTGTCAACACCTTTGAATATACTGTCTCTGGGAATAAATTTTGTAGGATTCTTTGAAGGAAGAATCCAAACTCACTTTTCCAATATAACACGGCTATCATACTTAGCAGTGTTACAGTCATACAGATAAAAAATGGAACATCTCATAAGCACTCAAGTCTCAGTTTTCCTTTAGGAATAACCATAACCTCTTCCTTGTTAATGACAATGTTGTTGTAGCTTTGTACAATAGAATCTAATTTGTTGAACCCTCAGTTCCTTCACCCTTCTGATAAGATAAAAAAGGACATTCCAGGCTGTCTCAGAAATGAGAAATTTAAATAAGAGGGATAAGATTTAGATTTAATGTCCCTTATAACACAAACAGACTAGTTTTCAGGGCTGTCACTCATTGCCAGGGGCTGGGGATTTCCTCCTGTTACTATAAGCATGACCATTGGTTATTTTTTGTAGGAAACAAAAGGAAAATGAGACCAAAAGGACTCCCTGGCTGTTCAGTTCCCAACAACTTTTAAATTAGCTTTTTATTAGTTCTTTTATTAACTCATATTTTCCTTTTATTGTTTTCCGAAAATTGTAAATTATTATTATTATTATCATTATCTGGACTAGCCATTTATTACTTTAAGATTTTAGTGTTGTAATGCGCACTCGATCATATCTTTATCGCATGCTAGACTGCGCAATATAAGAAATAAACATTATTATTATTATTATTACTACCGACTACATATACCTAGTAACTCGAAATCTTAGTAGCAACCCTGAGTTGAATTGTCATGATGTTCTACAACGGTTCAGACATTGTTTTCAAACTATATTTTATCATCAATTAATCTTGCAATTGGGCACAGATTGAAATAACTATCAAGGTTTAACAAAAGTACATAATAATGACTGTAACGAGTACACTTACATGAAGCATTGAGCTTCCTGCGGCCGCATGGCATCTTGGGAACAGCTTCCTCGTGTGTCGGCCATGTTGTTAGCATAGTAAATTGTAGCTCTGTTCTTGGGTTAAATATAAGTTGATGTTTTGGTACCTGACTGCCTGTTTAGCTATCGTTACAATGACTTTCATATATTCTTAACCATTTAGTACATAATAAACTTGCAATTATCATAACCAATGGTGTTGTTATTGAAGTCAACATTATTAATTAAGGTTTCTCTGCTTCTTAGCTGGACTTTGTAGGCCTTTTTACAGTTCCCGGCGCCATCTTGGAATAGTAACTGCGCAAACATCATGTTGAGGCTAACGTTGAGTCGCATTTCGCATCTGGTGTGTTTAACAGAGAATCTACACCCATCTTTGCTTTTTCTCCGGTTTTGTCCTGCTTTTTTTTGCCATACTTTTCGATAATGAACAGCAATAATACCCACGAGGGAAAGAGTGTGCCGTTTATGGCTGTCACAACAGCTATTACAATGACAAGGGGCTCTTCGCCGGTTACCATTTTTTCAGTTTTCCAACCGACCCCAAGACCAGAAATCGCTGGTGTAACCTTATAAAGCGGCAACATGGAAAGGATGACTTCAATGTAACTGCTGCAACTGTTGTTTGCAGTGAACATTTTAGACAAGAAGATATTATAAGAAAATTGACCCGCAGGTACTTAAAGAAAGGTATGTGACATGCAAAAACAGATATAAAAAAGTCATATATAGTAAATATTTCATTACAGCTGCATTATCAGCTAAGTTTTAGTTCCTTTTTACATTAAGCTTTAAAATTGTAACACTGTATAGCTTTTGACTGAAGGTTGGCTTTTCACATCGAAGGAAATATAGTTACCCCAATACAACATTTCAATACCACTGGATTACTGTTGTGCATCATTAATTGTACCAAATTCCCTAGTGCCATATAGATGTACTGAGATCAAAAACATTTAAACTGACATTACAGTTAAGTATTTTTCATAACTGTATCAAAATGACCATTAACACCACAACATGTACATTTATTATGGTCATGTAATTATTTTGATTTTTATTGCATTTTGTTTTAAGGTGCTGAGCCATCTCAGTTTTCATGGAGCGTGCCAAAAAAGTCTCAAAAAGCTCCTCCAAGGCGAACCCAGACTAAAGTAGTTTTAGCTCAGGAAATGGATGTTGCAGACTCCTCGAAAGTCACTGAAGACGCAATAATCATATCAGTGCCACCTGAAATAGTTTCCACCGCAGTCAGCAGCAGTCAATGTTCAAATTCATTAGCTACTGATCTGGATCGAGCTGAAACCTCTAAAGGCAATGTTGTTGAACAACTACAGAGGCATATTACATAACTGGAACTAAAGTTAGCTGATCGTGAAGAAAAGTTGGCAGAGATGGAAAAAGAGAATGAGATTTTGCTAGGGCGCCAATTTTCCTTAGACAAAATAAAGGATGATAATTCAGCAATCCTATTTTACACTGGGTTTCCTTGCTATGAAGCACTAATAAGTTTTTTCAAGTATCTTGAGCCAAAATTGGGGAAAATGCAGTACTGGAAAGGAGAACACTTAGTGAGAGAGAGCCTGCCTTATCAAGAGGATGAAAATAGAAATAAGCCTGGACCTACCAGGAAATTAACATTTCTTGATGAATTTCTTTTAGTATTGATGCAACTGAAGGCTGGATTATTCGTGCAGGACCTTGCAGACAGGTTTGGTGTTAGTACAAGCCTTGTGTCCAGAATATTTATAACCTGGATCAATTTGTTGTACTTGGAACTCAAAGACCTTTTCCCTTTTCCATCACAAGAGTTGGTACGCAAAAACATGCCAGATGGGTTTGCCGAGTTTGCAACAACTAGAATAATATTGGACTGCACGGAGATATTCATTCAGCGTCCCTCTGCCATGCTTGCGCAGTCTGAAACTTGGTCAGACTACAAGCACCACAATACTTGGAAGCAACTTGTGGGAATCACTCCAAATGGGCAAGTCACCTTTCTTTCAGACCTCTGGGGTGGACAGGTGTCGGAAAAACAGATAACCAGAGAAAGTGGAGTGCTAGATTTATTGAATAGTGGTGACAATGTTATGGTTGACCGTGGCTTCGACATAAAGGACATTGTACCTGATGGTGTCACGGTTAATATGCCCCCTTTTTTAGCCGGACGAGATCAACTGACTGCATCAGAGACAGAGGAAACTATGACCATCGCCTCTGTGCGAATACACGTGGAGAGGGCAATTGGTAGGATCAAGACTTACCATATTTTGGATGGGAACTTACCCAACACTTTAAGCCCTTACGCAACACAAATAGCCACAGTATGTGGACTATTGACAAATTTTCTTCCTCCATTGCTGCCCCCTGCAAAACCAAAACCCTAAATTCTTTTTTTATTACCAGTAACTTTATTTTTTGTACACACCTAAAATGATTTCTGGTATGTTTATCACTGATTTTGCGACCCCTAGACAATCAGATGGGAGATAAAGCAACAAACACAAAATTTCAAGAAACAAGATAATTAAATTGACAGTGTGGTTTCTTGAAGTTACGTTTTGTGGTTTGGTCTCTCTCCTGAGTGGCTCTTAGCTACTGTTGCTTAACTTTGGGGTTCTGTTATTTTAAGTGGAAAAGTGTATTGGTACTCTCCCAACACATTCAATATACCCATAACAAAATAAGTCTTAGTTTTATAAAGTTGTTGACTGTAACAAATGTAACACCTAGGTGACAATTCAAGTATTGTCAGTTCAAACTTCACTCAATAGAAGTGCAAATTCATCCTGCAAGGTAATTTGCTTGTGTCATCAAGGTTCTTATGGGTACAGTTTTAGCACTGTTACATGAAAGGAAAAGTAATGGTTGTAGTTATATATGATGTAAATTTACTACAGAATAATTGTTTACAATTGCCTTTGAAATCGCATTTTCAAACCAGTACTTGTGCAGCAATATTGGCCATATGGCAACCAACCTCCATGCAGGTATAGAATCTTACCCCGCTGCACTCGTCTGGTAATGAGCTCAGGGAAAAGAGCACATCTGTAAAAGAAATCTATCTTTGGCAGGGAGTCACTGATCCAAGAGTTGTCCAAGTAAATTTTCTCCACAAATAGTGGTCTACTCTCTCCAAAGTATACTACAAGAATGATCCCTTTAAGATCCAAGTTAGAACAGTAGAGCTGCCCTAATAATCATGATTTCGTTTTAACCTTACAGTTCCTCAGCAAGTTTCTCTAGAAAAAAAGTTTTATTTTGGCAGGCTTCTTCGATAGTCATGCCTGCTTTGCTTAAAGGAGATTTAATTTCCATCCCCCATTTTTCGTGAGTATCCTTAATGGTTACAATCCTGTCTATGCTTGCCCCCAGGTATGGCTTGTCCTTGGACACCAGCAGCCCAATTTCCTCAACAGTAACATCAATGCCATTCTTTTCCATTTCCCTCATGTAAAGGGTCACTGCCTTTGCTTCACTTTCGATGCCATATTGAGTAGCATCTGTAGTAAAATTCAAATAGAGGATTGATTTCAACTTATTTGAAGGTTCCACTTTGTTCTTAGCTGCTTTTCCAAAGTTTGAAGCTGTCAAAAGAGATTTCCTCTTTTCAAACCAAAGATTGTTTTTGTTTTGTCCTTGAGTTGTTCTCTCCGTTTCATCTATCTCTTCTTGAGTGATTGTTAAGCTGGAAACATAGGAATCAACCATAGATTTAAAGCGCTCAGTAGCAATATCGTAACTGTCTGTAAAAGGCACAGACTCTGGTGCCTCGTTTGTCTCTTCAGGGTCTGACTCCTCTACACAGTTTGACTTGATGTCATGGAACAAAAAAAAGGAACTGGCAGGGAGACAATTTTGAAGACTTTCACTTAAAATCTTGAAACTGTTTTCCTCTCTTGTTCGTTGATTGGGTGATCTTGGATCAAATTTTATAACCTTCGACTGAAGACGAATATTTTTCTTACCAAATTGTATCTTTCTGATTAGCACTTGGTCGAGAGGTTTAGCTGCAACGCTTTGGTTGCGGGGTACAACCCACACAGACAGCCGCGATGTGCATGACAAAGGCTCGGCATGCCTTTGTTATCCCCTTCTCGTAAAATCTTCAATCACAAACAACACTCCTCCAACGTGGTTACATTTACCTTTTCCGGATAAACCAAGCCCAGCCGGACACGTGCATGCCGCATGGATGTTAATGTAGTCATATTGCATTGTTTATTAGTACAGGTTAATGTATTGGTTAATGTATTCTTCATCTTGCTCTATAGCTAGATTTTTGTTGCTTAAAGTGCAGTATGTCTTCCTTTTTACATCACTTCCAGTACACTGTCCTTTAACAATGTTATGTTCTAATTCTACAATATCAATGTTTATGTTATGAATGTCATCAATTTCTGTTATTGTAGTTGCTTTGTTTGTATTGACATACTTAACATCATCAAATGTGCAAACTGTGAGATTTTTTAAATTCTCTCTTGGTTATAATGTTTATGCAATCGATTGAAGTTTTTGCGGTTGCCATGTTGTTCCTTCAGGTACAACGGAATCCGATGAAACAAAGAAGTCAGTACCCCATTAGTTGGCCATCTTAAAGGCAAATAAAAAGAGGAAAACCACTTCTGATGTATTTGCAAAGTTTGATAAAGTGTTTGAGTCCTTTGCGGAGTATCAGCAAGTGCTGACAAGAGCTTCCTTGAACCTGAAGCAGCAAGAGAGAGGTGAGAGGAGGAAAGAGCAGAGAAACAAAGAAAGTAGGATCAAGAATTTCTCCTGAAACAGGCGCAGGTTCTTCACAAGTAAAACCAAGTAAGTACCTTATATTTGTGACATCGTGACAATTGCGTTACCCTTTAGTCTCGTGATCAGTGATGCGCAACAATGCCTAGTAAGCAGATCTCGTTTATAGTTTAGTGTCGATGGTGCTCTGGTTTCTCGGTAGCACCCAAGTTTCTTCGAGACTTCTTATTTCACGTTTCTTTCACGTCGTTGTCCGCCCCGATCGGGATAGAGGTATGTTCATGTGACATTGTAGCGCTCCTAGGTTATGTTTACTGTTGTACATTTGATTTAAGTACTCGTTATTTGGTGATTTCACGAATGATCAATTCTGTTGTTGTTGTATTGTTTTTGGATCATTCACCTCAATAGTTTTCGCTTATTAGTTAAGCTCATGATAATTAAGTTTAGTTGGCCATTGTATGATTATTTTCAGTTTTTACGTGTTGGATCATAATAAAGGATTGCCATCGTGGTGTTGCGAAATGGTAAAATATGGTTCAACTCAGTTTGTAAACCTATCGCCGCTGTTATAATATTGTTAATTAATTTGCTGTTACTTATTGCTCAAACTGTATAGCTTGCATTTTTTTGTGGTTTTATCTCGCATGTGATTGGTAAATACACAATTAAAATGTCAAAGTCAAAAAATATTGAAGTGTTTATGAATTTTGGATTCACATAGTACATGTAATAGCTAAAATCTTTCTTTAATTAAACTTGCACAGTCTGCACAGTAGTTCATGTTAGTCAATAAAGTTGTTGTTTTGTTTTGCTTTTTAGTCTCTTGGCTCACAATCTCTTATTGAGCAGGTCAGGAGAGATTGCATGATGAGCCAAAAGAATGTCTGCATGGGATTCTATTCACACAGTAATTAGCTTCTCTGATGGCTACAGCATTCCTGTTTTGTCCTTGGTTTGGGTCGACTGGGAAAACACTAAGATGGAGCTGCACATCTTGTAGCCACTCTTCATTTAAGTCCTCACCCATGACTTCACAGAAGTTGTGCAACACACAACAAGCAGCAATGACAAGACAAACAGTCTCAACATTGAGGTCCACCCTCTTTGCAATGCTTCTGAACCTACCCTTTAGCCTTCCATAGGCATTCTCAACCACCACTCTTGTCATGTTGGGGATCTTGTTGAAATTCACTTCTTCTCCATTAAGTTCCCATTACTGTATACCACTTCATTAGCCTGTCACTGATGTGGAGTCTCCAACTATCAAGGGCGGAACTCTCACGCCTGATATGACTCAAGATAATTGAAGTGGTAGGAAAGTCCTCCCACAGCCGTGGGAAAACAGGGGTAAATTTTTAAATAAGCGTGCATTGTGAACTTTTGCCAGCCATCCAACAAAACTGTCCACAAAACGATAGTTGCTGTCAACCAATCCCTGCAATGTTACTGCCTGGAATCCTTTTCAATTCACATAATCTTCCGGACTTTGGAGGGGTGCAATGACAGGCATATGGCAAACATCAAGAGCGGCCACTAATTGGGGATGAAGACCTGCTTTCACTCCAAACTCGAGGTAAGCTTGGGGCTCATTGAAATAGCTTGTGCGTCAACAACAATACAGATGATACAAGACATCTGCATTGGAAGTATCTGTAGAGTTGTCTCCTGGAAAGCTTTGGACAACTTTCCGCATTTTTTTGGCTTTCTTCTCTGTTTTCCAACACAAAAGCACAATATTTCGCCCATCCCCCATTTTGCTTACATTTTACATGTTGTGGCTGTATGATGTTGTAACATTTCACGTCAATTACACTTACATGAGTACGAGGCCGAGCATGAACATGAGGCTGCATTGTTGTCAGCTCTTGTTGTTTGCTGTGAGCGGGTTGATCAGTTAACCATGTTTAATTAAACATGGTTTCATTAAACTCTGTTTAATTAGACATATTTTGATGGTGTGAACATGGTATAAGTTTGAAATGCAATGTTAAAGTTGCTGTGTTTGAAATACAATTTAAAAGTTGCTATGTTGCTGTTTGAAATTAAGTATTAAAGTTACAATTCAGCTTTCCTGAACAGTTGTTAACATAATACATTATATGATTAATTGCTTCTGGTTACAATTGGGTTATTCCATTTTATCATATCTGCTCCCCCTATACAAGAAACTAGTCTTTGATTAAGAATTAGCCTACACAAGTCTAAGAACTATATATAATCTCCTAGATACATGCTGTCATTGACTGCCTATTTTTTAGTATATCTAGATCCAAAGGCAGATGGGAGTGACCTACAAAATGTACTTATGTTTGAGAAAGGTATTGAGTTTTTTGTTTACATTATGTACCATCTCTTTTGGAGAGGAAACAAAAGTGAAATAAAATTACTATTATCATACGACTCCACAGGTTCTCAAGCTGTTGTGTTATAAGTAATTGTTGTTGTTAATATAAGCTTCTAGAAATCTCCAGACTGCTTAGTCATGCTGATATGTGTACCAAAGAACTTTCTTCAACATTTCATCAAGTCACGCTGTTATTATGTAATACTACTACACTGGTTCTTTTGAAATGTTCCGGAACACATTATGTGGTATTTATAGGAGTTGCTCCTTGTTAAGAATATCATTCTTTGTTTTATAAAGTAGCTGAGTTTGTAGGATTGCAGAGTTTTTCTGCTGGTTACATTATACAGTAACAGATGTGCAACACCAATGTTGTATTAAAATGAATATTGGTTTCACCCTTAGAAAGAACACCAACCAACTTCATGCAACTACCTTTCCGAAGGTTGTCAGTGATTTCAGTGATTTTGTCAGTGAAAGGCATCTATGTTTATGGGGAAGACACCACCCCTCTTGAAGAAAAAAAATACTTCCTTTCAGACATGTCAATTCTCAGCTTTCTAAGATAAAAAACTAATCATCTCTATGACAAATCATACTGATGGAGAGTCTCAGGCACAGGAAAACACAGATGAAACCAACCTGGTACAAGGATTGACACAATGCACAACTACAGCTGTGTAACACAATGTGATAAAACACCAAAACTTCAGTAAAAGAGGTGAAATAATGGTCATATCCATTGCAAGTGTTGTTGTGGTGTAGAACACAAAAAATATAACCAAAATTTTAAGTCAATGCATAACATTACTTAGGTATGTTACCAAAGTCCATTCCCAATACCCATTTTATACTGTTATAAGAGTGTCACAGTTTCTTTTTCCTCATCCATGTATAAATTCTTTTTCGCTTTACTAAAGTAAATGTTTCACATTTTCCCTACTCCTTTGTTTCAGGTCATCGATAAAAATTTGTGTTTCACTGTTGTGTTCATAAAACGTCTCAATCCAACTCACTAGAGTAACCCCAATCCACCTGAGAGTTTCCGCATTTCTAAAAATACCTTCACCATACTCTTTAATCTTACAAAATAATATTACATTCTTTTGCTTTTCATGACAGTATCTTTTTCTAACAACAATATCCAACCTATTACCAGCATTCTGCATGCAAGGGCAGCTTTAGTGATAACTATTACTAATAGCTTCTTTGATGTTTGACATCAGAGACAGAAATGCACCTCACAGCATTCAATAACTCTTCAAGATATTTGGGAGATCCATTTTTATAACAACCAATCTTCCGCCTCTGGTAGCTTTTATAAACAAACCTGGTCAATGAGGAATGTGTGAAGTTGAGTGCATGTTTTAGACAGTTTGGAGATCTCCACAAAGAGATAAAACTTCTCAGTGGAGGATGCTTCTTTTAATACAAACTAATTTTGATGCAAGTCAATTTAGTACTTAATTTTTATGACGAGCCCACAGGTAAGAGTTTCAGACTTGCCAATTTCAATGGGCAGGAGGTTGATCAGCTGGTCGAACTAAGAAACGTGGAGAAAACCAAGAAAACAACAAACGAGTCTATATCAACCTTTCTAAATGAATAATAAATACCAGCAGTTTGAGATAATAAAACTGCTCTGGTATGGGAAGCCATTTAAATGCTTTTGGCAACAAAAACTGTACCGAGTGAGTTATGCAAAGTTTCTTTCCTAAAGGCCTTCTTTTTTTTTTAATCAAATACAGAAAGTAATGGAGATCAATTTCTATCAGTCATTCTACTGTTCAGTTTCAGCCTGTTACTCAAAGAAAGCTATACAAACACCACTCAAAAACATGAAGATTGGCCAGCTGGACCACAACCTGGGGCAATTTTGCACTGAAGCACAAAAGGGGAGCCACACATTAAATCCACCTTGCTTGGATCCAGATAAAGAATTGAAAGATATCTCAGCTCTTCTGGATAAACACAACTTTTCAATTTTAGACAAAGCGGAAAGGAAAACATAACTCACAAGCCTAAGCACCTCAAAAACCTCGAAGCTAGAGAAATCTTAACTCATTTTTCGTCACTTTCCCTTTGAGAAATGTCTGCTTACCTATTGTCCTTTTCTCTCTCTGGAAAGGCTGTGAGAGACAGAGAGGTCTGACGACCAAGAACTTTTAAGTTTGGCAACTATGCAACTGGGAAAAAGTTTGCAACCATAATCAAGTTTCAAAAAATCATTCAGGCAGTGCCAATGACAAGTTCAGTAAGGAAAAGAAAGATGTACAAACTGCAGACCAATACAGTGGCTGCAAAGCCATAAAGCTTTATTGTAAAAAGATTAACCGGAGATGCTGTGCATTTTTTCCTGTAGCCAGGCAAGTTTCAGTGTTGAAGATGGTGTGGTTTAAGCAAAGGCCAATAGGCATCAGCACACTGGCAACCATGATGAAAAAAATCAGGGAAGCAGCCTGACTGTCCAAAATATACAGAAACCAAAGTATAACGGCGACAGCCATAATTCTGTGGTCCAATAAGTATATGTCGTTATCTTGGCAATGCTGGTCAGTTAGCACAGAACAATCTGCTCTTAATCTTGACCATTCAACATTATTCTTCTCATTCATCGTACATCAGAAAAATTTGCAGCGGAGATATTAACACATCTGTGTTTTTATTCACTTATTATGCCTTCTCCAGGTTTCAGCATGCTTTATGCCTTACTCAATGTTACAAAAGAGTCAAAAAACAAGTCAAATTCACAGAACTGACAAGAAAAAAAAGCATCCCTCAAAGGCCTTCACAACAATCCACACTCATTAAAGATAGTCAGCAAACAACATCACATAATGTACTAAACAACATTCTCACCTGTGATTTTCAGAGAGCAAGCCTCTAAGTGGAGAAAAGGAAATCATCTGTAGATCTTCAAACAACAACTTACTTGCTCAAACTCATTTTAATACCAAGATTTGGGATATTTCTAAAATGCAGACATGAAGCATGAACTCTGAGTTGCAAGCCTCCCACACACCCTGATTAAAGATCTAATTCTTCTTGCAGACATAACAAGAAAACAGGCAAACTTTTGGATTCAGGGGCTGCGATGCCAACCAAAGAGGCATTCAGAGAAGCTCTGTCTTGTGCATAGATTGAGACTTTTATCCTTTCCATTCCATAATTGTTTTGTTGATTTCAATAATTGTTAATTTCTGTTTTTCAGCTAGGGTATCATTGTTTCAATAATTAGGATAGTCTTTCACTAGCTCGTGCTCCTAGTTTTGCAAGTCACAAAGCATAGGAGTTGCTGGAGTCATCAGGCATATTTGGAGAATCCAGGCAATTTTTCCTTGTTCTTCACCACCCAGAGCTAAAATCAGATGTAAGTGGTTTCTGTTTGATTGGCCCAATTTTTTCTATATATCATTTTGTTTCACAATCTATCATAAAAAAGACAATTGGCTCTTTCATTTGTTATTTCACCATCCTCTTTTATCTAAAGCCAGTTTGTTAACAGATGATCACTTTGCTAAGTTGGTTTACCATCAGTCGCACTTGGTGCAGACTTCTTTTTAGAAGTCTTAAAGTTATGCAATTATGCAGCTATATATTACGAGTTATCAATTTTCAACCTACTAATACTAATACTATTACTGCTTCTGCTTCATAAATAAAAAGTATTTTGAGTTGAAAAGATAACGTTTTTGATGTGTCATCACAAATCAGCTGCTGACATGTCACTTGCCTTTTGCGCTACTCTTCCAGGTTGATGAATGAAAAGCAAAACCTTCACCATTCACAATCCATGGTCATTTCTCGCTTTACATCTGCTAAATCACTTAAAAATTTGTATCACTTACAGACACTGACATTCAAAATTTCCTTGAAGAGGAAGAAAACTAAAATATGCTAAGAAAAAAACTGGAGGTACATGTTAATGGCATTTCTTGGGGCTTTGAACATTGAAGATTTGCCACAGGGCTATTTTAGCTGCATACTGTATTTACCTGCATGATACACACATTTTTTTGGAAAAATAACTTTCAAAATTTTGGTGCATATTACACACAGATCTTATTGTTTGACATGTGCCTCCTAATTGGCATACAGTGACAAAAACAAAAGGAAGACTGTAACAAGCTCTGTTGTAATTGGTCTTTGTTAACTTAAGTAAAATCATTTACCAATAAAAATTTTTCAATTTTGATCCACAAATAAATTTAGTTGACTATATAACAAACAGCTGATGAGATAACCATCATGATTTCTCTCCATCAATCTAGAGAGACAAGAACTACAATGTGGCAACAAACCTTACCACTGAGAAATGTCAGGGCAACACAGTCTCTGACAAGCTACAAATTGTCAAGTTTGTTAGACAAAATGGAAACCATGCTGCCAAACATAAATTTGGTGTGTCAGAGAGCCATGTCAGGCTGTGGCAAAGAAGTAAAGAGGATTTACAGAAGATATCTCCGCTCAAACATGCAAACTGTGGAAAGCAAGCTGTGTGGTTGGAGTTGGAGATTGATCTGTTGGCACAGATTACAGAGAGGAGAAAGAATGGCTTAGCTATCCTTCTTTCCTTCGTTTGAATGAAAGCACTTAGGCTTGCCAAAGAGGAGAAATACAACATTCCTGTTGGAGTGTCTAAAGGCAGCAATCACTGATGCCAGGGATTCATGAAGTAGAATGGCCTTTCACTTCAGCAGAAAACCATATTGGCACAATGACTTGCCAACGATTCTGGGGAGAAGTTTGCACTGTTTCATCACTTCATCATCAATCACCACAAAAAACACAACTATCCTCTGCACCTGATTGCTAACATGGAGGCTCTGCTCACATTTAACATCCCACCAAATTGCACAATCAACAACACAGCTGAGAAAGCCTTAAAAATATGCACAAAAGGAAATCAGAAGAATTGTCTTACAGTTGTGTTTCCCTGCTGTGGAAATGTTTCATCTCACCTTTTATCCACACATGTGAGCGCTTGGTCAGTGATAAGACCTCTCACATTTTCAGACATTTCTCAACAATCACACTTTTATATAACCTCATTAATACTGTTAAAAACCTACTTCAACAATGTGCAGTGATGGCTACAACTGGCAAAGCTACGTTTAGCATAGATGGTTGTACTATCCATTCACCATTAAAACTTCCTGACAGTGCAAAAGGCAACAAATATTTAACTGGGCAAAGCCTCATTAGACTACAAAATATCCTAAAAGAAGTAAGCTATGTTATAATTGATGAATACTCAATGTTAGGCCAAAAATAGTTTCCTGGGTTGACCAACAGTGCAGGCAACCTACTGGTTTAACAGATCAACTCTTTAGTGGAAAGTCAATTATATTAGTCGGTGATCCTAAGCAATTACCTTTGCTAGCAGATAAGCCTCTTTATCACTCTAAGCCCTCCAGTACTCTACAAGAATAAGGTCATTTAGCCTATTTCAAGGTTAACACTGTTTATAAACTAAATGAAACAGACAGTAAAAGGATCCACCCCAGAACAAGGTACATTAAAAGATTTATGGAACCAATTGTGCACAAGAAATTGCTAAAAAGATGAGTAAAACCTTCTCTTAATTTGTCAACCATTAATAGCACAAAATATCACTGAATTTGAAAATGCAACTAGACTGTATTACAGCAAAGAAGTTGCAAACTACAACTTTCAAAAATTACCTTCTCTCCAACAACCAACAGCAGGGATTAATGCACAACACTCAACTGAGGCAGCCAAAAAGATAAGTGCTGATGAAATGTCAGGATTAGAACTTGTCTTCCTTGCAAAATGGACACATCTTATCCTTACAATGAACTTGTGGGCAGACATTGGTCTTTGCGATGGTGCAACTGGAACTATAGTTCATTGTGATGACGTTGCTCTTTACCACAAATCCACAAGTGTGGTTGATATCCAAAATTCCAAAAGAGAAGACCATAACAGCCCTACTTGGAGGTATCACTGAAATCGATGTAGAGAAGTTTCATTTGCATTTGCAAGATAAAACACAAAATGCAACCTTGAGGTGATGAAATCTGACAAATTGCTTCACAAAAGCAAACATCACTATCATAGCTGAAAATGGTGAAAAAGTTGCAATATATTACTGTCCTCAAATAGTCACCCAAGAGTTCTTCACAACCATATCCTGCACTTGTGGCAGCACTTTGGACCAGGATGTATCACATATGTCAGCTGATCTTAGGGAGGAAAATCTTCTTAAAGTTACTTAAATGACATAGTTGATGAACACACAAATATCCAATCCACTAATCCCCACAAAAAGATGCAGTTTCAGTGACATTCTAATGAAAGTTGAACACAGCACCTCCTGAAGAGACCTTTTTAGTTTTAGACACAATGTTCAGGAATATTTTTGGATTTTCCACACAATTAAACCATTTACTTTCTTTTTGCAAAATGTAAAAAATGAACAAAAGGCATACATATTTCTATTTTTTTACTTCTACAATTATTTTGTAATTACCTAAGAGATATCGAAGACCATTAAAGTTGTAAAATAAAACAAAGCAGCATCAAACAAGATTCTTATTGCTGAGACTGTTGTTTCTTGTTTAGAAACTTATTCTTCAGGAAATTTTCCTGAATTTTTTCATGCACACTTGTGTATATTCAAACTATTTTGTTTTTCTATCTATGATACATTTGTAACATGCTTGAATTAACATTGTCTATCTTGTTGATATCTTTTTGTTGTTTGTTTCTGTAGGAGACCCTGCATACAATTCTTCAAATGAGCAAAATTTATGACACTTTGGTTGATTCTAGAATAAACCCATTTTAGCTGTTAGTTTCATTATTGCTCTTTCTAACACGCATTTTATTTTCAGTTCAATGTCCTTTTTTTGTAACATCATTCTGCTACTACAACCCCATTGATTAAAAATTACAGTTTTTTATGTAATACTGAAACCCATAGCTCTCCACTACAAGCTAACATGAATTCAAGAAATTCACAACATTCCCCCATTTTTCCTCACCTGGAAGAATCAAGATTGTTGTGTCTTAGAAGGCTTTTAAATGCATTAATACAAGTTACTTTCAGTTTCAAATGTTAAAGAGAAATTAGTACTCAGAATAATTCTACAGAGTACCTAAACATCTACCACCACATAACTCAGTGGGCAAGACCAGTTCTGCCTGATGATTTCAATTATTTAATTAAGAGCAGTGGCCACACATAGTCCTTGCCTACCTATGGACTTCCAGGAATTAAACAATATTGAAACTAAGCTTTTCACATCTCTAAATATCTTTTGTTACCAGAAGTTGGAAACCATAGTGTGAGCCCTCAATGAAAGATTGGAAAACATAAGATAAAGAAGATTGAAACACAGCTAACATGATTAACAAGTGAAGAATTCTTCACAGGAATTTTTAGTTCAATAATAGTCTTCTCCGTAACTGTGACTGTTATTTTATCTTTCATTTATATGTCATTTTATCATATCAAATTTTAACTCTTTCTCATTTAATATCTTTAATCTGGATTAATACCACATACCTGATTGTAGTTTTTCTATCTTAGTATTCTTGTAATTTATTCTTTTACCTTATGGCATACTACCACAAAGCAATAGCGGGTTTACCACTACCAGCAAAAAAAAACCTTTAACATGAAAGTGTCAGGAGCCCATCAGCACAGAGCCTGCACCTTCCATACTAATCCTTTGAGTCAACCCTCCCCCTTTTTTATCATTAGCGGGGGTCTTGGATTCCCAGGTATTCTTTGGAATGCCCAATCAGAACATAGCTGATTATCTTATGTCACACACCACTGATCACAGCTATCAGGGGCACACAGCAATATGATTGCAGTGATAGCAGAGCACAGGGAAAATTCATCAAATGAAGAAAGTGAAAGTTCTGATTGTTACAATGTCTCTTCATCTGAATTAAGCACATCCTCCAAAATTAGTGGTGAGGAAGAAAGCATATCAAACCAGGTTAAAGTGAAAGGTGATGTGTCCACCACAAAGAACTCACAGCCGGGAAGGAGGCAAAAGAAAGATACATCTTTAAATGCTAAAGATATGGAAGACATCAAAACCTGGATTTTCACAGTAGCAGAAGTCAAGAAAGTCAAAGAACAGCTCTGGTTGATTCTGATAGGGGGATGCACAAATTAAAGGTTATCGTAAATGTTTTCTGGAACATCTGTTATTCAAAGCAGAAGTGAACAATTTTCAGTTGCTGGTGAGTGGGTTTTGCCACAAGTTTTCTACTCTAGCAATTGAAGCATTCAAGAGCAATCTTCACACTTACAGGAAAGCACCTTTTTTCGGTTGCATGGATGAAGTTTCTGTCCAACATACTTCCTGGAAAAACAATGCAAGAGCAAATGATCATGGAGAGGGTATTGAGGAATTTGAATCAGCAGTCTGATTCATGCTCAGTTCACAGCGTTCTAAGTGAAATACATTAAAGTGCAAGGAATCAAATCTAGCTTTCAAGAGAAATCAATCCCCCATCTAAGTTTAAGGTTTGATCTCTGTAACCTTTCTCTGAATATTTGTTTTGGGTTAAACTCTTCCTGTCAATTAGTTTTCCTAATACAGCTGAGTAAGTAAAGACAGACAAATTCCCTCCACTTATGTGCTTAAGTGCACTGAAAATTTCCTCCAATGCACTGCCATCGATCCTTAATGGACTGATGAAATATCTCCCATCTAGCAACACACTGATAACAAAACCACTCACAGCGTAAGAGAAAGCAATGATCGACAACTTGAGGGAGATTCCAGGTCTATGAAAAATAACAGTGACACAATAATTCAGTATGGCACAGTAGCAGGCAGGGTTTCTGTTAGAACCAAGACACCAGGACCTTTACTCAGCTATTTGAATGTTTGTTGCAGCTATTTCACTTGATGTTTTACTATTAAGTTTTAAAATTGAGCTGACATGCATTAAGTATTTTAACTTTATTTCCTATATATCAAACAAGATTGTTATTTATTTCATTGTGGTTAGGTATTCAGTCTTGCCACATAATCTTTAATGATTATCTTCTTTCAAATTCCTGGTTGCTCTTCAACAAAACAAATAAATTCTAAAGTTTGTCCTACTGGTTTGATGTAAACAATGTGAGGTGAAGCAAAACCATAGTCTACTTTAACTTGTTTATCACTTTATGAATATGATATAAACATGCTTTGAGTTTTAAGTGTAGTTTTAATAAAATTACAGGCAGACAGTGAAAAGAACTTTTGCTCCAAGTGCAGATAAGACCTCTCCAGCAAGCGCTTTGCCTGTTTCAACCACTGAAGAACCTTCCAATGAAACCTCCTCAAATCTTAAGCTCAACCACAGTGTTTCCAGGCCACAAGTGATTGCTGAGGATTCATCCCTTCTTCCCATAGCCCATTCTTCATCTGCTTCTTCCAGCAGGCCAACTTCAACAAAGCCACCTGTTTAGAGCGATGTCAGTGCTATGTGTGAACTGATATATGGTTTATTTCCTGGAGGTGAAATTGTGCATAGTTTCTACCACTGCTCTGAAAGTGAATGTAACTAACAGAAGGAGAAGGGGAAGAAAAAATTTGACCATGCATGGATCTTTAAACACAATTTAACTTAGGGTACAACAAGATGACCATGGTGGTTGCTTTTTGTCCAAGAAAAGAGAATGTACTATTTGCTCTGCCAACTTCACCATGCCATGAGTAAGCATAGCAAGAGCTCATTGTAAGGTATGTACCCTGCTGTACAATTCCAAACCTCAGTGCTTATGGAACACTGTAATGGACAGAAAAACGAAAAATTCCACTGTAGCAGAAATGCTGAAGAGGACCTCGATTTTCCAAGCAAAACTAAATGAGCACAATCTCCACCAGCATGAAATTCTGTTTAGTGTTTTTATGTTGTTGTACTGGCAAGTTGAGCATTAAGAACCAGATGATCTCCCTGCAACTATGGAGATTGACCCATGTTCCTCCCGTGTCCCAAAAGTTGTCAAAGAGCCGAACTTTAATGCATATATGGCCTTAACTGTGATGATGTGGACAACATAGAGGACTCTGACAATGAATTAGACTATTTTTGTGAATAAATCTTTAGATAATTTCTTGCAGCATTTCGAAGCTTTTATGTATACAAATACCATTATTAGAAGTGTAATACAGTGAAAAAATTGAATGATAATGATTATGTAACGATTTTAATCGATTTTTCAGAATGAGTTAAATCAGTTCAAGTAGATTGCTTGAATAAAAATGGACAGATTGTAGTGAATTTAATTGAAAAAGAAAATATCAAAACCAAATAAGCATAGAGTAACACCAGTCTGAGGAATGTAATATGCAGTGTTTAAACGCTGCAAAATATTCCAACATACGAGGGTGAGAAATTGAGAGATGATGCTGTTACAAAGCACACATTGTTTTATAAGCTTGTTTGCCTTAATAAGACTGATTTCAGACAAGTTCTGAAGGGAAAACATTGAATATTGAATCTTCTATACTTTCACTAGGCACAAAATGATGCAAGAGTATGTGCTTGCTGTAGCATTTTCTTCCCTGTTTGATCAGGCAAAAGGTGCAAAGATTTCAGTACAGTAAAAAATTAGTCACAAAAATGTCTTCGTTTCTTAGCTTCAGATTTCTTAAGAACCCTTTAAAAATTTCCTAGACAGCCTCAAACATCTCAAAACTTAATCTGAGCTCAATCCTCAAAGTTTACAAAAATTAAGAACTGGTTTAGAAGGACTATGTACTCACTTGTACACTTGTCTGATAAAATATCTCTATGGGATGAATAAGCCACAATCTTCAGTAGATTTTGTCACATAATACAGTACTGCTCACATATACATTGACCGAAAAACGTGAATTAAACACAAAAAATTGCATGCAATTGTGAATAAAAAAAAAATTGTGTGTGTCAAAAAATCACACGTGCACTCACAACTTCGAGACATCAGCCTCATTAGTATGTATGAGGTAGTCATTTTGTTTTTCTATTGTTGGCGGTTTATTGTTTTAAAGAATAGGGTTTAATTCAATAGCACTAAAATACTACACGGCTACCAATGACAAGCAAACTTATTGTTTGCAATTGCTGTTTGAACCGACCTTCCCAGTATGCTATTACCAATATGACTTCATAATCGGAATATATAAATGATTTACCATTTTCCAATGGAATTCATTTATCAAAATAGCTATTTCCCACTTCATATATAAAAACATCCATCACAACAGCTTAGGAATTTGTTCAAAATAAATTCATTCTCAGTGTATTGTAATTCAGTAGAATCAGCTAAGGCACCCCTTTGTAACCAGTTGTCGCATCCGGAATGCAAACCCACGCACAAATGCTTATTTCATAGCTTTTGTAATTGATGAACATGCTGTTCTCAAAAACTGGTTCATTCATCTCGCCATTTCTACAAAAACTAATAAGTGCTACTCGCTTATTTTAATGGTGTGGTGTTACGGTATGATTACTTGTCAAGACTACATCTTGCTCTAACTCGTATGCAAATTTTTTTACAGGAAACCAGATTCGCTTTTTGTTTCAATATTTGTCGAATCATCAATCAATGTTCACCAAATTGCTCGAAAAAATGGAACAGAAAAATTAACTGCAGGATACATGTAGCTCCAGTTTGTTTAAGACTCACAGGCGAGTGTAATTAGGCAAAACATCAAGATGGCAATAATCGAACTTGTGTAGTCAACTTACTTATCGAACTTATGAGTCAACGAACTCAAAGCAGTCAGAAGTGGAAACTCATGATGATACCCTTCTTTTACTAAGGTCGCAGTCAACATCAGAAAAAAATTTTGTGGTTCATCTTATATGCCATTTCTTTTTGCCGCACAAATTGGATGGACAAAATTTTAGGGGGGTTGGAAATAAACTTCTGCTTGATCCACTTAAAATGGAAAGGATAAGACAGATAATCTTTAAATTTTTTCCATTAACATGAACACAACAAGAACAGTAACATGCTTTTTTTATAAATTATCTAACATGTCCTATTACCACAAACACATGAACAAAACAACATTCTCAGAAAGCAAACTGTACTGCTCCTAACTTGGCTCAACATTTGTCACCACTAGAGTTTGTTTCATCATTTTCTTTTGCTTCCAAAGATGGTGTTGTCCCCCAGTGCAAGCATTCTACCAACTTTTCCTTACCTAATGCTGGCAATCTATTGTTTTGCAATTTTTCCATGAGAGAAGTACATCCAGTGATTTCTTTTTCCTGAAAAGCAGGAGCTGGACAGACGTGAATCTGACAGATATGTCAAATTTACAACCTAAGATTTAAAGGAAAACGTCAATTAAGAAGATTTGATCTCTCTTCTCTAACACGAGTCTTTCAGGTAGAGGGCTGCCAAAATAATCTATTTTACTTAGTAGTCAAATGTTGAAGATAAATGATTTGTACCGCGGGATGCTGTATGACGATCAACACTGAGGATATACGTGTACGTCTACATGTACGCTAAATCTCCAAGTCTAAGAACTGGTCAATTTTTAGATCCAAATTTAATTTTGCGCAGCAATCAAACGATGAAGATAGAAGATTCATACCGCGGGATGCTGCATGATGATGAACACTCAGAATAGTCAGAATACAACTATGGCTGCCAAGTTTACGTTTGGGCTAAATCTCAGAGTCCAATTACTGGTCAATTTGTAGATCCATGTCTGTGGTTAACAAATACTTTGCCGCTTTTCAGTGCACCCACGACTGACAAATTGAAAATTTGGCGAAGACAAATTTTGTCGAGAGTATATGAGGAGCCAAACAAACTTCCAGCGCGCCCGGGCTTACACACACCCTTTCGCACCTACCGAGAACGAATCTACGCGCGAAATTCCCATGATCAGGAAAATTTTAAAACATAGCTGACACATACTGTTAACTTTGACAAAAATTATAGTTTACTTAATCCAAGAAATGTGTGCAAGCATGAGGCTATACGGAAATCTTGCCCGACTAATCACCACTGTGCTATCGATTTCAGCCGAATGATAATTTACGTAAACAGTTAAATACAATATCGCTTATGAAAAGGTTACCTGCTCTTCCAACATTTCCGAAGTATAAGCTTAGGCTGCAGTTACATGTGCGACCACAGCGACCGTCAAACAGAAGAGTACGTGGCTCAAATGCTGTTAACTCTGGTCCAAGGAGAAACTGAAAATTCGGAGCGTGCGCGGAGTTTTGCGGTGCGCGCCAGTCGATAACTTGTTTCCAGACTCTACTCTGCCAACCTAGAAGTGAAGGGGTAAGTAGTTTCCAACGAACCTGTGGTGCCGTGTCGGTGGGGTGCTGTAACAAGATAATTTGGTTTTATCAAATGAGTTGATAATGTAATTTGGCCACAGACGTTTCGAGCGCTAGCCCTTCACTAGAGCAAACTGTCAGCTTAGAAACTCTTTACTGTGGCCAACTCAATTGATAAACCAAATTATCTCAGAGCTGAGATGTCGGTTGTCTCAGGAGTCATCCCTTGATTATGACTATACCGCAGAATAGGCAAAATATTCTTGAGTTTTTCGGGCAAGCGAGAGACGAGAACGAAGCACAAGTCACGCATGAGGGGAGGAAGAGAGCAACAGCGTGAGGCTCTTCGAGTTAGGTTACTTCCCACCCTCAGAGGCCGAGTCTTTCATTTCACTAAACTGAATTCAAACCTAAAGGCATCCGAGCTATTCAGAAGAACATATTTTCAAATAAAAGTTATTAAATCAGGAATGATCTCGGACCTAAGAGAATCCCTGAGGGGAGTTTCGCGGCAACCGCCCATCATGATGTTGGGGCTCGTTTTTTATGTTATTTCCATATTTTATTTACATCGCGCACTTGACAAAATTCACACGTGGAGCTCTTTGCTTATGGAAAAATCTTTGCTCAGGAAAAATCAAAGGTGGAAGAAAGTCCTCGGTAAAAAAAAAAAGGCCATTGAAGAAAGAGAGAAAAAAGAAAGAGTACCATTCTGTCCAGAAAAGAAATTCCTTTGTGAAAGCGACTGATACTGTTGGAGCTCCATACTGGCGTCAGATTTCGAACAGAGAAGTCGCCGTCAGACCAAAATTTGCCATATAATGTATTTTCCGTTGGTATTCGAAATAATTAGGCGTACTTGTTTCGCTTTGACATCTGGCACTCCCTTTATTGTGCCTTCTACGCTGTTATTGGTCGGCTTCTAGTACTTATACTCTCTACTGTTCACTGTACACCATTCCCGTTTGCGGTTTCCTACTTCACAGTTTTACGTCTTTTCGCGAGTGTTTTTTCAAGCGTGTGCTTCTAATGTCCAGCGAACAGGAGCAAACCGAAGGTTCTTCCCGCTCAACAGATACGACCCAACCGGTTCATGGTGGTGGCAACTCGGCATCTGTCGAGCAGGTTTTCTCAATGTTTAAAGATTACCTGGAGAAGAAATTGGAGGTTAAAACCAAGCAGATCGAGCAAAAGAGCAAAATAGACAAAGAAGTCGTGCAATTGAAATACAAGGGCAACCAGAAGCAGTACGAGCTCAATGCAGAATTGGATTCCATCACTGAAAGCATAGAAACCGAGTCAGAGCGCGGCGAACCAAATTTACCGCTGATTAAGAAGTATTCTCAAGAGGCCAGGGAGCTTATTCGCAAACGGCAAAAGCTAATAAAAATTGCCCACAAGAGCAAGGACGGTTGGCAAGTTGTGGCAGAATACGAATCCGATGAGTTGGCGTCCGACTCCGCAGATAAGAAACGGCTCAAAAAGTCTAGGGAAACGGCGAGTCGAAAGAGACGACAAAAGGACCAACTCACAAGCCGGAGCGGAAAGAAAGCAAGAGCCGCTGTGGGTTCTGATAATCAGCTTTTTCGTGGTAAGAAAAATTGCCTACAATTTACTTTGTGATTTCATATGGTTTTGGATCCGCTTACGCATCCTACCATACTGCTTGAGTGATTTATTTATTACAGGAATTTAAGGGTAAAATAATTTACGTTCGTTTGAGCGAAGCGAATTAGAACGTAAATGCATTTTCAGCTGGTATTCGAAGTAATTAGGCGTACTTGTTTCGCTTTGACACCTGGCACTCCCTTTATTGTGCCTTCTACGCTGTTATTGGTCGGCTTCTAGTACTTATACTCTCTACTGTTCACTGTACACCATTCACGTTTGCGGTTTCCTACTTCACAGTTTACATTTTCGCGAGTGTTTTCCCACCCCCCCTCTGCTTACTACGTTTTCTTTTATTACTTTTATTCTGGCCGTAGAGGCGCTTCTTGCGACTACTCACGTTGCTACAAGTGTGGAAAACTTGGGCACTGGGCTAAAGACTGCAAATCCATGTTCTGGCCAGGAAGTTACCAGTTTCCTAACTACAATACTTACCCTGGACTCTCCTACAACAAGCCAGCCGGAAGCCATTCATCTCAATACCAATCAAAGCAGTGAAGAGGACTTGGCACAGGTAGAAGAAATCGTACAGAAATACGAACTTGAAAGCGGACAGTCTTTAACTGTTAAGGGTAATTTGAAGAAAAATGTAGGGTTTTGGAGATCTATTGGTGCTCCAAATTTCATTTTGACTATTATTGAAAAGGGCTACAAATGACCATTTGCTAGCCTTCCATTAGCTGTAAGGCTAAAGAATAATAAGTCTGCTCGACTTCATGCTAATTTCGTTGACCAAGCTGTTCTTGAGTTAGTTAATTCAGGTCGGGTTTGTAGGGTTGATAAGCAACCTTTTATTGTCAACCCCTTATCAGTGTCTATTCAGCCATGTGGCAAAAAAAGATTAATTCTTGATTTACGTCACGTTAACAGGTCCCTAATTAAACAAAGAATCAAATACGAGGATTGGAAAATTGCTATGGCTTATTTTGCCAAGGATTCGTACATGTTTTCTTTTGACTTGAAAAGTGGCTATCACCATATCGAAATTTCGCAGGATCACCAAACGTTTTTGGGGTTTTGTTGGCGTGCTCCAGATTCCAATAACGAAGTATTTTACGTTTTCACCGTTCTTCCGTTTGGTTTGTCTACAGCTCCCTATATTTTCACAAAGTTTCTTAAACCTTTAGGGAAACATTGGAGAATACAAGGTACTTGCATAGCTATTTTCTTAGATGATGGTTGGGCGATAGTTCAGGACAAAGAAGGTTGTCTTCTTAACGCCCAAACCGTAAGGCAGGACTTGTATGGTGCGGGTTTTGTAGTGAATGAAGAGAAATCGGTATGGGAACCTACTCAAATTTTGGACTGGTTAGGTATAACCTGGAATTCTTTATTGGGTACTCTAAGAATTGTAGAGAGAAGAATTACTAAGATTGCCAACACAATAGATCGTATTACTGAGGCCGATTTTAAACTTTCTGCTAGAGAGCTGGCTTCTTTCACGGGTCAAATTATCTCTACTGCGCCTGTGGTTGGAAACATTGGTAGGATAATGACCAGACATTGCGTTATGTCTACCTTGTGTGTAGATAATTGGGATTCAGTATTTTGTCTTGATGATTATTGCAAAGAGGAATTATATTTTTGGAAAGATAATTTGATTAACCTCAACAGCAGATATTGCTTTGTAAGTAAAGATCCTAGTTATTTTGTTTACTCAGATGCTAGCGCCACTGGAGGCGGTGCATTCATTGACTTTAACAATGACTTTGTGTGTCACAAACTGTGGACGGAGAACGAAAGTTTGCGAAGCTCAACATGGAGAGAGTTATCTGTTATTGAATTTTCATTGAAATCATTTGCCCCTGTACTTAAAGGATCGCACGTTAAGTGGTATACTGACAGCCAAGCCGCTGCCAAGATTGTTGAAGTGGGCAGCATGAAGCTTGATCTACACAGGATTGCGCGGAGCATTTTCAGTATTTGTATCTAGTCGGGGATTCATTTAGAGGTCCAGTGGATTCCACGTACTTTAAATCAGCAAGCTGACTATATAAGGCGATTAATTGATACCGATGATTGGCAAATTACCGACGAATTTTTTCTATTTCTTGATGAACGTTGGGGGCCCCATACTGTTGATTGTTTTGCCAATTATTACAATCACAAACTCCCCAAATTCTTTTCAAGATTCTGGAATCCCAATACTGCAGGTGTCGATTTCTTCTTTCAGCCTCTTGGCGGGGAAAATTGTCTAGTGGTTCCACCCGTGGGTATTGTTCCACGTGTTTTGCATTATATGAAGTGTCAGTATGCCGTTGGTACACTTGTTGTACCCTTCTGGCCTACAGCTCATTACTGGTCATTAATTATGCACAGATATAGTGATTCTCTTGTGGCCCACGTTATTCGTGCTGGGAGGGAGGTTCTTATTCATGGAAGAAATCATAATTCGCTGTTAGGGTCTCACCAATTCACAGGTTATATTATCGCCTTAAGAATGGAATTTACTGAGTAACAATTTGGACTTGTTCATCAAGTGTGTTAGCACTGGCCTAAGCAATGGTTTGATTTCATGAGGCACCAACCGAAACAATGATTTGCATCTTGTGGCACTGGCCTAACAATGATGTCTTGTTTTTAAGGGCACTGGCCCAGACTCCGGCCCAAACAATGATCCATTGGGCACTTTGGGATTCCCATCTTATTGTCACTACACTAAGGGCGTGCGTTTTGTCCCTTTTAGTTTGTATGTTGTGTTCTTGTTTTTTCCAGATAATTTCTTCAAGCAAGTCATGGAAAGGTTCCCCAGTTCTTTCGTCATTGAATGCCAATCAGGTTTTAGACGTGATGTTGAAATCCAGAGCAGATGCTACAGCAAAATCCTATATGCGAGTTATTAAGAAGTTTTTGGATTGGTGTAAAAGCAAGCAAATAAGCTTTGAGCTACCTTTTCCTTTAGGTGTCGTATCTCTTTATTTGTTCGAAGTCCAACAGTCTTGTAGTTCCAGTTCTTCTGTAATTTTGACCCACGCCGCCCTTAAATGGCTACATTCATTTGTTCCTAGTCTTGATTGTAACCCATTGGATAGCGATTTTTGTAGAAATATTATCGAATCTGCCAAACGCCAGAGGTCACAACCGATTGTGAAAAAGAAATCCATTACCACAAAAATCATTAGGAACATATTGGACGTTCATAACAAGGAAGATTCTAATCTGAAGGATCTTCGTATTGCTGCATTATACTCATTAGTTTTCGCAGGTTTTCTTCGATATGACGATTTATGTAATATCGTTCCGAAGCATATTGAGTTTCATAATGATTATACAAGGATTTTCTTGCCTCGAAGCAAAACCGATATTTTTAGGGAAGGGAGTTATGTCTATATTAGCGCTTCCACATCTAAGTACTGTCCTGTCGGTGTCTTAAGAAGGTATTTGAACCTTTCTGGGATTGACAGCAATAGTAATCTTCCTTTATTTAGACCTCTAACTTTTCACCCTAGTAATTCTAGCTATACCCTGAGAGGTGGTAAGATTTCTTATACTAGATGCAGGGAAATTCTTAGAGATTGCCTGAGTAAGCTAAGTTATAATCCTAATAATTTCGGTCTTCATAGCTTAAGATCCGGTGGCATTACATCTGTAGTGCGTAATAGTGGTCATTCGATTTCAGAAAGACTACTTAAAATACATGGTAGATGGAAGTCTGACTCTGCCAAGGACATGTACATTGAAGAGAGCCTTGAGAATAGATTACAAGTAACTAAGTATTTACGTTTGTAATATCATTGAGCATTTATATTTCACACGCTCCTTTATTCTTTATATTAGCGTAAACAATAAAGCGTTCTACTTATGAATTGTAAAAAAAAAATAATTTTGTATTATGATTTCATGTAATTAATGTAATATCATTGAGCATTTTTATATTTCACACGTTCCTTTATTCTTTATATTAGCGTAAAAAATAAAGACTTCTACAAATGAATTGTAAAAAAAAAAAAAAAAGAGCAATAATTTTTGTATTATGATTTAATCTAGATGTAATAAACTTTGTTTTGGATCCGCTTACGCATCCTACCATACTGCTTGTCTGATTTATTTATTACGGGAATTTAAGGGTAAAATAATTTACGTTCGTTTGAGCGAAGCGAATTAGAACGTAATAATGTTTAAAAATATGTCTCCTTTTCTTTCTGCAAGTATCAACCTTGATACAAAAACATTAACAATCGCCTCGAATCGTAATTTTGAAAGCTATTTGTCGATTCTTTGTCTTGTCTTCCTTTGCCTTTGGCAACTTTGCTCATTATTGTGTCGTCCTCCTCAACGCTCCACTGAGCGATCGAGATAAAAAATGTCAGGAGCCCATTACCCTGGTAATATACATGTGTCTGCAATGGATTCCTTCTCCCGGGAAATCTTGATCCCTCTTCATTGACGGCAGGAGGTCCCGTTGACCCGTTGGTTTGCGGTTTCGGTTTCGGGAGGCAAGATAATAGGGACCTTAAGCAAACCACGACGGCGACGGCAACGAGGACATGGAAAAACAAAAGATCTAATTGGCAGAACAATAGCTCATCACGTGCGTTTTAAAACTTTGTACATTTCTTAGCCGTCCTATGCAAAACAACAACGTGAAATCACCACAATTTGCGTCGTCTACGAACCGAAACCGCGACGGCAAATTTTTGTAATTTCCACTTGGAGCTCAACGTTTCCTTTATACGTTATGCTGAAGTTGAGGTGTGGCGCCGTGGGAGAAGGCAAACACATGCGGTCATTTTCAGATGAATGAATGCTAAAAACAAGGTGTATAAATCTGTAACTTGCTTCCGAAATTGGCATGTTGTAGGCGTAGGAGCAGTCCAAGATGTTGAAAGCCACCAAAAGATACACAACTTCGGTAAAACACTTCATTTCTTGTGATAAAACTACGAATTTATCAAACCGTTCGACACAATCAATCTCTGACTAATAGGAAATACTGCTGGCGAAGGTATATGTGAGCCCGCACCATCTAGCTTTTTACTTCCGCTTGAACCGGAAATGAAAAAAAAAACGTGGAACCAAGAGAACCACGAGAACCACGAGAACCACGAGAACCACGAGAACCACGAGAACCACGAGAACCACGAGAACCACGAGAACCACGAGAACCAGGAAAACCAAGGGAACCACGAGAACCACGAGGACCACGAGAACCAAGAAAACCAAGGGAACCACGAGAACCACAAGAACCAGAAATACACAATTACCGTTACTAAGAGTTATATTATATGGAGTCCGATAGTACAAGAACTACAAGAACCAGAGAACTACCGAGAACTACACAATTACCCTGACTCAGCGTTGGATTTATGCGAAATCCGATAGTAAGCGTTCATGACGTCAGCTGTGGCTATTACACCAGAGATCAGCCTGCAAAGTTTCCTTCTAGATTAGCTGCGAGTTTCAAAACAATCAAGATAGATTCACGAGACCTTGCAGCCCGCAATGTTTTAGTTGGAGAGAGAGAGAAAGGTGTAAAGTGACAGACTTTGGGATGGCCAGAGATGTCCAGCAAGAAAATATCTATGAACGAAAGACGAAGGTAATCCAACAATTTATACTAGTATTACATCAACTATCAACGTCTTTGATTTGTCGCCTTTTATAAATTTGGACCTGTTTCACAAAGTATGTTTGAAATATTTAGGGTCGCCTTCCGATGAAGTGGACAGCTTATGAGGCGTTGTTGTATGGAAGATATACCACCAAAAGTGATGTGTAAGTACATCATTACCCATAGCAATGAATTCTAGCATTTATTTTCCAACAAACTTTCTTTTATGGAAATGAATTTCATTCATGATAATTTGTCTATGTCTTCAATTATCTAAGTTACATACGTTTGATTTGCCTGTCTGTAGATGGAGCTATAGAGTTGTGCTTTTCGAGAATTTCACTATAGGTAACATCCAATGAACGTTTGACTCTGTAGATATTTCTTTATACCGGTTTGATTTAACAACTTCTACTGTTTAGGTAAACAAACGTAATGAGTTTTCCCTTGCAGATTCTTACTTCATCAAGTGACAGTGGTGATGATAAAGTGAAGGTCGTTGTTTTGTAACATTTATATTTCGATGGTGTTGTGGTTCTCCGTCAGGTGGTTCACCTTAACCAAGAATGGACGGAAAAAAATTGCAAACGTACTTCAGGAGGGATACAGGATGCCTAAACCACAACATTCGGATGAAAAATTGTAAGTTTTCTTCCATTTTTGATTCGTTCTCTTTTATTGCAAAAGCAAACGTTCCTTAAATCTCTAACAGATCAATTTTGAAAAATAACAGGTATCAGATCATGATGAAATGCTGGAAGAATGACTCGGATGCCAGACCAACTTTCACTGAGTTGAAAAAACAGCTGACATGGAAACCATGCATAAGGTGAGAATTGTTAACAACATGAAAGTTTCCATTTATGCAAGAGCTACTGGCTTAAACTCAGCTAATTAGGGTTTCAAACTTAACAGCATTGAGCCTAGATAGCGTAGTAATATGTACTCATCTCTATAATTTTTGTGAAGTTTGGATTGCATCTTCTTGTTGTGTCACTGAAGCTAGCACTCCACGAAAAACAGCGAAGAAGCGAACTAGAATGTTTCAATGACAATTGACACTTTATGGTTATTTAAAAGATCATAGGATAATTGCAAAATTGCTTTGAGATGCACAAAGAGTAGCAGACGCCATATAATACTTTCTCCTTGAATTTATATTGGTGTGAAAACCTGAGCACTTGTGAGGTAACCGCTTATAACGTAAGAGGAACACTTTTTTAATGATGCTGACTATTGTATCAAATTTCTCAGGAAAAGTTGATCAACATGACAAAGTACGACAAGCAATTCAATGCAAACGTCAAGGACTTAATAGTGTAGTTAGATACACGTCCGCGGTATATGACTGATTAACAGTTTGAATACTTTGCCACAACAAGTTTCATGGATTAATCATCTTTTCCTCACACGCTTACTTGGTAGAAATAGCCATGTTGTGTCAAGCAATTAGGCTCGAACGTTTTGATTCAATTGACTCTACTCCTAAACGCTGAAACGCTTTTATAGGTTTACCGATTAAGTGTACTCTCAGTTTCTCTTTAAGATATTAAGCACTTACACGTATGCTCGACACAAGCGTTTGAGTTCATTTTCTTTTCTGGCTCAATTCTAAAAGCGTGGAAAGAAAAAAATCTAATTTACCAGATTGATGAGATCTCGCTCTGAGTGCCATAGTCGTGTACAATTTCATTAAATTGCTAGAAAAATTTCTGCCGCTAACCCGTTTGTTTGCAGGAAAGCTATCGTGCACATAAATTTCTTTCCCTAAGACTGCCTTTACCTGCGATACCAACTCGAAATAATTTTACGCTTAAAGATTAGTAAAACTAACCATGTTCTAATCAAAATTATACATGACACATTACTTCTGCAAGAAAGTTTGTTGTTTCGCCTAGTAGCCCGATAGTTTTCGTGTACCAGATACTGTTACTCAACGAAACTACATTGTACGAGCTAAAGCCTTTTTTTTCTCGGACACGTTATTGTAATAACCTTAATTTTTTTTTTACAATAAAAGTGTTGAAAAGTTCGGAGTTGACTCTGTCTGCATGATGATGCCGTGCATAAATTTACATACTTGGCTCCACGACATTGATCTAACCAAATCAACGTTACGTGGGCGTAAGAGAGCTTGCCGAAGTGCAAAAATCGCTTTTTTTACATGTTTCAGGAGACTTACATCCAAGAGACCACGTTCTCCTGTCACTCTCGGTTGAGGTGAAGGATCGATCAATCTTACATAATTATGAATTAGGTTACCTTTCGGTCAAAACCTTCTTTCCTCAGCTGCACTAAACAATTACGCTAGAAACAGTACTTAACATGAAAACAACGCTATTTCAGTCTGGAGTAGAGGTTGCTTGAGAAATGGTCTTAACGTTCAAATGGAGGAGAGTTTTGCGTCTGTTTTGAAATATCCACTGTCTTCATTTTGCCTCTGGAAGCTCTTGATGCTCCAGTATACAGAGGAGAGGGGGTGAAATAGAGGGGGGTTTCGTCTTAGCTTTTCAAAATTGATTCTCTGAAAGTTTTATATAAATTTTAAATTTACATTTTTTTTGCCTTTTTTTTGCTAAATGACGCTACTTTTAGCTTTATCGCAGCGAAAAACGGTCTTTTGCCTGTTTGCAGCTGGTCACAGTGATGTGAGCTATCTAACCAGAAACAACGTTTTTGCGCTTTTGAAGCGTTGTCACACCGCAAAAAAGGTTTTCTGCTTGTTTTTCTCTAAACCTTTATAGCTCTAAATGGGACTTAATAAGTCAAATCAATTAAGCTAGTTTAACTTTTTAACTTCTTGAACCAACTGACCTTCATTATAAAGATTCTGCGATGAAACCATTTAAGCTTGTTATGCACTATGTCCAGTTGAACCATTTAAGCTAGTTTGACCATTTGAACGACGTTAGCCAATTAAGATAAATTGTGAAATTTGTGCATTTAACTGTTCCCGCTGGTTTGACTGTCTAACTGGTTGAACTAATTAAGCTGCTTTGATCATTTAAACTACCAGAACCAATTCAGCTGGGTTGTGTGGTTTATGCAGTTAGCAATTGAAGGTAATTTGACCATTTGAACTACTTCACCCATTTATGAGATTGTACAGTTTGTTCCGTTCAACGATTTTTCGGACAAAATGGTAACTGCCCTCAATATAGCGCAACTGTACAATGTGCGCAATGTGATTTTAATTGATTCAAGTAGTTAACATAATCAAACTAGTTTAATTGGTTAAACTAGTTAAGTGGTCAAACTAGGGAAAACAGTCAAACTACAAGAATTGCGAAATCTACCTTAATTGGTTAAATCAGTTCAAATGGTCAAACTAGATAAACTAGATTAAATGGTTCAACTGCACAAAATGCGTACCTAGCATGTATACCTCAACTACGAAAACTTAACAGTCTAGTTTAATTGCTGCAAGCAATTAAAATGGTCCAAACAGGCATCAATTAATCAACTGCACAAACGGCACAATCGCGCAAAGTTAATTAGGTCAACTGGTTAAATAGTCAAACTAGGGAAAACAGTTAAATCTAACTTCATTGAGTGAAGTAGTAGAAATAGTCAAAACAGCTTTAATGCTTCATCCGCACAAAGTCCATGACTAGCTTAATTGGTTTAACTGGTAAAACAGTAAATCTAGGGAAAACTGTCTAACTGCACAAACTGCGCGATCCATCTTAATTGGTTGAAGTAATTCAAATGGTTAACTTGGCTTGAATGGTTCAACAAAATGCACAAGTAGCCTAAAAGGCTCACAGCGCAAACCGCACAATCCAGCTTAACTGGTTGAGGTGGTTAAGATTGTCAAACTGGTTTAGTTGGTTCAACTGGTTAAATAGACAAACTAAGGAAAATTTTAAGCTGCACCAATTGCGCAATATATCTTTAAATAGTGAGTGAATGGTCACGCGTTGGAAAGGCCCAAAGGAGTATTGTAGTGAAACTTGAATCTGGCGAATATGTAAATTTCCTTTGGAGACATGGTTTCTTGATAAATCGCTCGATAAATCGCTACAACTTAGTCTCGAACAGGTAGAAGCATAAGGGCCAGGATTTTTCGGAACGTCAATAAATATTGTAATGTCCACTGGTGGGTCGTGGCCAGGGATTGGTAGCGACGTTAACCCATACTTACTAGATTTAGATACCGGGAATCTTGATCTTGCGAAACTGACTGAAAGCAATCGACGAGTAAGCGGTATTGGCACACCAAAACCCGCCGCCATCACTGACAAGCGAGTCTCATTACCATTTCCAACACAAGGACGTGAAGTTAAGGTAAATAAGAGAATCAATTGGCTGAAGAATACAGGAGCCAAAAGATTCGTGGCCGCCATAATCGGCGCCTGCGCAAAACTCATGGTCATGATCGCCATCGCATGGTCATGGTCATGGTCATGTACGTGTCCCGAAGCGTCTGCCGCCTGATTGCAAGAACTCAGTCCCTGTGGACCATCGAGAACTGGCGGTCACGCAACACTCCGTCAGAGAAGCCGTGGAAATATTTCAAAACCGCCCTTACGCCTTTTATGGAAATTACTATTCATACTATCGTATTTGGCTATCGACACCGTGAAGATTCAAGAGTATGATGAGTCTTGCAAGAGAATAACTGTTTTTCCCGATAGTTTGATGATGGCGATCAACCCTCGCCCACTAATTTTTTTAATGACACGAAGTTAGTCAGTATTCTCACCGATTTGAAAGTGATTCTGGGAGGAGTCCTTCCAAAGTCTAATATAAAATGTGACCCTGTTCAAGCGCCCTTTTACGTGAACAATTTCGACTTAGTCACTAGTCTCCGCCGCGCAACACACCGCTTATATTCCTTGCAAGGAGTAACTAATCTTTTGGAATGTGACAGTTTCCTACGCCGTTTTTACGTTTACTCCACTGGAATCCCCGCGCGGATGTTTTGTCCTACACGTCATTACGCCAATAGTCTGCAGGAATGCAAATCATGGGCACGTGCTACCTGCCGTGTGGTGGCACCCGATGAACTCGCGTGTCTGCGGTTACGTCAGCCACGTAGTCCTTTTATGTGCCATGTGGGAGTTTTGGCTTATTTCGGGCATTATACCATGTTTTTACCAGAAAAAGTGCGATGCCCCGCAAGGCCCTAATTTAATCTCTGTCCTTCGCCAAACAACAGGCGCGATGTTTGTTAATCAACAACTTACGCGTGTGGTCAATAGAAAAGTAACTTACCTCGTTAAGACAACGGATACACTTAACACGAAAGTTAAACAAATAATTAACTCCATGCGTGCCTTGGATCGCTCGTTTACCACCTGGAACCAGCAGGTTGTCGAGCAATTCAAAGAAGAATAACGCCACTATCACGCTAACATGGAATTTTTATCGCTATACTCTCTTCAACTGAACCGCGTTATGAGCACTATGTTACGGCTTACAAAAATAGAATATGTTTTAAGCCAGCTGTCACATCTCACCCGCAAGGATCTCATTACCTTTGCAAATTTACCATGCTCCTTAACAATGGAACTAAACGTTCGACTAGCCGCAATTCCGACATTTGTCCATACTCTCGATGTACTGAAATCGGGGTTTGCAGCGATCATCCAGCCTTTGGTGGATCATGAGTATCA